TTACTACAATGTGTAAATGGGAAGGAAGAGAGGAAGGTAACAAGGAGCTATGAAGACCCCACCCCTAAAACAGAATGTGCTACCGAAGTTTTGGTGACATCCAGTCGGTAGTAACGCACAAACGTATGGGGAGAGGCCCAGCTGGCAGCAGAGCAGATGTCCTGCAGTGACACTCCCCTGAACAAGGCCCAAGAGGCGGCTAAGCCCCTCGTGGAATGAGCTCTGATGTTCCCTGGGGGCTGCACACCCATCGATTCATATGCCAAAGCAATAGCTTCCACAAGCCAATGTGAAAGGCGTTGCTTGGATATGGGACTCCCCCTGTGCGGGGACGCCCATGAAATAAAGAGCTGGGCGCTCTTCCGGAAAGCACTGGTCCTGGTCATATACGTCTGTAATGCACGAACTGGACACAGAGCATTCAGCCTCTGATCCTCAGTGGAAGAAAAAGGTGGAGGGTGAAAAGCGGACAGCTCCAACACTTCTGATGTAAATGCAGGGAAGCACTTAGGCAAAAAAGCCAGGTTCGGCTTAAGTAAAACCTTATCTCCACTAAGAGAGAATTTAGTGCACGAGGAATGAACCGAGAGTGCATGAAGCTCATTGACACGTTTAGCTGAAGCCAAGGCCAAGAGCAAAGCTGCCTTGAAGGACAGCAGCTTCAGGGTCTAGAGTAATTTTTGCAACTGAATTATCCACTAACCTAGTTTATAGTAGTATTTTTGTCATAGATTATATTTATATATTTATTCATTTGGTGTTTTTCTTTACAATGAAGTTGTCTATATGTGGTAGAGTGTGTTTAACACACAAAAGAGTGATGATCAGGTCAACACATTGAGGTATAGAAATTCTACACTGATTTGCATTTACATTTAGTCATTTAGCAGACACTTTTTTCCAAAGTGATTTACAAATGAGGACAGTGGAAGCAATCAAAATCAACAAGAGAGCAATGATATGCAAGTGCTATAACAAGTCTCAGTTAGCTTAACGCAGTACACGTAGCAAGGTTTTTTTTTTTTAGTTATTTGTTTTTAGTTATATAATAAAAGAAAATAGAAAAAGCATTTTTTGCTTTTGTTAATTGTATAATAAATAAAAAGAAAACAAATAGATAGAATACAAAAAGATTAGAGAAGCTAGTGTTTTGTTTTGTTTTTTTAAAGAAAACAAGCAGTTAGTAAATGAATAGAGTGCCAGTCTAAAAGGGGCATGTTTTTTTAAAGAATATAATTAGAATAGAGAGTGCTAGAGTTAGAGGGTCAAATAAAGATGGAAGAGATGTGTTTTTAGTCGATAAATAAAAAAAAAAACTGTGCTGGTATCGGATCTGTATCAGTATCGGCCGATACTCATAATTTCTGGTATCGAATCGGGATCGGATCTGAAAAAGTGGTATCGAGCCAGCCCTATGCAAAACCTTCTCACTCTTTTTTTCCAGACATCAATGAATGTGAAGATGCAGTGTCAGTGTGTGGTCAATACTCAGATTGTATTAACATCATTGGGAGTCACATGTGTTCATGCTGGAGTGGATTTAATACCTCCAATAAAGACAGTCCTGTGAGCCGCAACAACTCATGTCATGGTAAATATAATTATCTCATTTTGTGTTCTGTTTTTATCTCATTAAATTGAGTGTACAGAGCTGCTTTGTCTTTACAATATTTTTTGTTATGTTTCTTTTCTTAATTCCATAGATATAAATGAATGTCAGTTCAGTCCATCTGTATGTGGTCCAAATTCTAACTGCACAAATCAGTTGGGAAGTTATAATTGCTCATGTCTGGATGGATTCACTGCAACAAATTCAAGTCTCCCCATCAGCATCAATAACACATGTAGAGGTAAATCCTGGAATCAAATTTATATATAGCCTGATTTTGGAAAATAACCAAAGATATTGTTTTACGGCATTTACTTTTTTTCTTCTTTTTGCTATAAAATCATTTTAACACATTGTATTATTTAATTAACAATTAAACAACAATTAGTGTTTTCGTCTCCTGCAAAAACAATTTTCTTCATCCTCTATTTTTCATGTTTGGTAACCAAAGCATAAACAAATGAGATTTGAATTGCAATGACTTTCATGTTTGAGTGTTCCTACTAGGAACACTAAGTATGTTTTTTTTTCATATCTTCCTGTAATAAAGATATTACAAACTTTGTTTATCGTATTTGTAGGTAAAAGGCATAGTCATCATTTCTGGATGTTTTTCCCCACTTTATTTCTACAGTGACTCTACCTTTGACTGAATATCTGATTGAAATTCAGATCAATAGCATGGACAGTAGCATCACTGATCAGCTGAGGAACCTTCTGATGTCTTTCAGTTTGCCCTACACAATCAGTGACAGCACTAACATTACAGAAATCAACATAACTACTGGTATGATCTCTGACTCTGCTTCTGTAATGTTGTATAACTAAGATTAAACTTTATACATCATGAATGCTGCCATAAATTATGAATTTTGGATTTTTTGACTCTTCCTCTGTTTTTCAGTGTGTTTTTTGAATGAAACACAGTATCAGTGTAAATGTGAGGGTCTGTTTGTTTGGCCGAATGACACGTGTCACTCATACGAAGCCTGTGATGACATCACTGATGGTTCATGTACATGTATCAATGCCCTTCCAGTCGACAGACAGTTCTGCCAAAGTGAGACACTGACATTATTCTATGACAACATCAATTTTGTGGTATATTATATCTGAGAAAGAAATAATGTCATATTTGAAATGAATGGAAATAGTACATTTTTGTCATTTTAAGAATGTAATCATGCTGATTGTTCTGCTCAAGCTGCTTCTGTTTGTTCTTGCAGTTCTACCTTCTAAGTACGTGATTGACATTGATGTGAGATTCTTTGACTTGTTCCTTGTGGACTACTTACGGAATCTCGTCAGAAATATCAGCCTGCCTTTGACTCTGAGAAACAGAGATATATTTCATCATGATATATTTCATTTATATTGTGTGTAAATTTTACACAAATATGAATTCAATCTCTTTTATGGCTTGGTGCATGTTTCCTTTACTTCTTTTTTCAGCGATGATTAAAGCTGTTTAAATACATGTTAGAGTTTAAAACGAAACAAAACAAAATACAGTTGCATTAAATCCTGTTGGCCAAAAAAATCATTATCTATTATAAACTTTGTTTATCGTATTTGTAGGTAAAAGGCATAGTCCTCATTTCTGGATGTTTTTTTCCCGTCTTTATTTCTACAGTGACTCTACCTTTGACTGAATATCTGATTGAAATTCAGATCAATAGCATGGACAGTAGCATCACTGATCAGCTGAGGAACCTTCTGATGTCTTTCAGTTTGCCCTACACAATCAGTGACAGCACTAACATTACAGAAATCAACATAACTACTGGTATGATCTCTGACTCTGCTTCTGTAATGTTGTATAACTAAGATTAAACTTTATACATCATGAATGCTGCCATAAATGATGCATTTTGGATTTTTTGACTCTTCCTCTGTTTTTCAGTGTGTTTTTTGAATGAAACACAGTATCAGTGTAAATGTGAGGGTCTGTTTGTTTGGCCGAATGACACGTGTCACTCATACGAGGCCTGTGATGACATCACTGATGGTTCATGTACCTGTATCAATGCCCTTCCAGTCGACAGACAGTTCTGCCAAAGTGAGACACTGACATTATACTATGACAACGTCAATTTTTCTCAAATTTTCTCAATTATTTTGTTCTGTTTTCCTGCTTTGATTTTCCTGCATTTTACTGCTAGGTTTGACAGACTGATTATTTGCTTGTTTTTTGGTTGCAAATAACTCTATATAAAATACATGGTCTATTATATGAAGTTTTGTTGAAATGTTAACAGTAAGATACTTTAAACATTAACCTCAGGCTTTGTGGTATATTATATCTGTGAAAAAATTTATTTATTTGAAATTACTGGAAATATTACTTTTTTGTCATTATAAAAATATAATCATGCTAATTGTTCTGCTCAACCTGCTTCTGTTTGTTCTTGCAGTTCTACCTTCTAAGTACGTGATTGACATTGATGTGAGATTCTTTGACTTGTTCCTTGTGGACTACTTACGGAATCTCGTCAGAAATATCAGCCTGCCTTTGACTCTGAGAAACAGCATTAATATCACAGATATTGACATGAATACTGGTGAGATCAGAATGTTTTATCATGTCACATAGCCTAATTAGATGTGTTCAGTATTAGGAAAAATTGACAGTCTGAACACTGACAAATGAATCCCATTCTATTACAGTGTGTGGGTTAAATGGAACAGAATATGAGTGCAAGTGTGAGGAGAATCATGTTTGGCCCAATGACACCTGCAGGGCCTATCAGGTGTGTGATGGTATTGTGGGAGGCACTTGTGGATGTGTTCAAGCTCTCCCTTCAGAGGGTCCGCTTTGCCAGAGAGGTAAGAAATCACATTAGATCACAAATGTACTGATAGTAATTGTAGTAACATGACCAGCGTGAGTTTAGTCAGCGACTCTTGACATGTTTGGTTGTTTGGAAACCTGTAATTTTTTTTTTCCAGACATCAATGAATGTGAAGATGCAGTGTCAGTGTGTGGTCAATACTCAGATTGTATTAACATCCTTGGGAGTCACATGTCTTCATGCTGGAGTGGATTTAATACCTCCAATAAAGACAGTCCTGTGAGCCGCAACAATTCATGTGAAGGTGAGTATTGTCTACAAATTTTGTTTTCTGTTTTTATCTCATTAAATTGACCGTACAGAGCTGCTTTGTATTTATTTGTTTGTTTGAATACTTCTGTGAGTTTTAGTTGTTCCTGCTTGGGGTGTAACATCACTCAGCAAATGATAAATTTTTCGCTTTTCTATCTTCTTGTCTATTCTATAATGTGAATAAATGTCTTTAGATACCAGATGTTTTTCTTGTCAGATCTTTGCCTAATTTATAAACTGTAAAAATTAAATATACTTCAAATTTTTTTCACTTGTTCCTTCCATAGATATAAATGAATGTTTGTTCAGTCCATCTGTATGTGGTCCAGATTCTAACTGCACAAATGGATTGGGAAGTTACAATTGCTCATGTCTGGATGGATTCACTGAAACAGTTTCAAGCCTTACTATCGGCATCAATAACACATGTAGAGGTACATTCTTAAGTCAGATCTTTATGTTCTTTAACCTTTTTCTAACCTCTAATTTTGCGACACTGCCATACATTTTAAAGGATAAATTAGTTGACAAACTCTTCACATTTTGTATTTGTTCAGTTCTAATGTAATTGACTTGTAAAATACTACAATCATGAATTTTCTTTGATTGATTTACCTTACTTGACATTTCTGCCATTTCGAATGGTTTCTTGTAAAGTTTTTTTCAATGCTTTACCTATGATCTTTACCAAAACTGGCTGGTATCGTCTTCAAAGAAACATTATCAAGTCACTTATTCTCTAGAAAAACTATGAAATTTGTTTGTGAAGACACCATGCAGGAAGTTAGTCATTGCCTTTGTAATGTTACACAACATCATAGTTTCAGTTTTTTTTTACCTTTACATATGATCCAAACTCTTTCTTTTTCCTGTAACTTTCTTTTAATATAGATGTGGATGAATGTGCTGAGATATCAGACGTCTGTGGCCCAAACTCAATCTGCAACAACACTGTTGGGAGTCACAATTGCTCGTGCATGAGTGGATATAATTTAACAGACCCAAACCTCCATATTAACAGCAATAACACATGCAAAGGTATGATTGACAGCTAATGCTCATAGTACAAAATCATGACAAAGAGAGGCTTTTTTTGTTAATTTTTTCTGTACCCCTGATTGAGGTCTGTTGTGTAAAGGGGCACAAAGATCTCAGAGTTCCCCACAAATGAATTTTCATCTCAGTGTGTGTGTTGTTAGCATGTAGTGTTTTTTATGTACATCCAATAGAATTATTGTTTAATTCTAGGATATTGTTTTTAAAGCAGTTTTAGACATACATAAAACTCTTTTTAATTTGTATTAATGTGTACAAATAATTCTGATTGTGATGTGTAATTTGGATTTTTAAATTTAGGCCTAAAATACTATTTTTATAGACCTGTTCTATAAACTCACTTATTAGATTTCAGTGTTAACCTCATTCTCAAGAATAACTGAAAGAAATTTGCTGGCGTAGACACCATACAGGAAGTTAGTCATTATCTGGGCAACAGTTTTGCTCAAAGAATGAGATGACCTCCAGATATGTATCCAGATATGAGTCACCCAAAACTGTTTTTCTTTAATACAGATGTGGATGAATGTGTTGAGATATCAGACATCTGTGGTCCAAACTCAATCTGCAACAACACTGTTGGGAGTTACAATTGCTCGTGCATGAGTGGATATAATGTAACAGACCCAAACCTCCCTATAAACAGCAATAACACATGCAAAGGTATGATTGACAGCTGAAGCTCTGAACAGTTTGCTACTGTTTGTACTGCCTGAATCTTTCTTCAACTGTAACCTTTCACTTTACCAATTATTTTATTTCAGATATTTATGATTCACCGTCATTGTGTAGTCCAACCTCTGTTACAATTAACTCTAAGGTGTCTCATGCTCAGTTTGTAACTGTAATTGAATGAAATTAAACTTATTTTTAAATACTTTTTAAATAATATTTTCCCTCATAGATGTAGATGAATGTCTGTTCAGTCCATCTGTATGTGGTCCAGATTCCAACTGCACAAATGAAATTGGAAGTTACAATTGCTCATGTCTGGATGGATTCACTGCAACAAACTCAAGTCTCCCCATCAGCATCAATAACACATGTACAGGTACTAGTGCAATTTGAACTTGTGAATTTAGGCCTGAAATAAATTTTTTCTTTGGGAGAATGGTTTAAAAATGTTGTTTTCCTGGTCTTTTGTGTTTAAAAATGTTGATACTGTACTTTCACAATACTTATTCTCTTTGTAGCGATGTAGATGAATGACATACCATTTGTATTTCATGTTTTTAGGTATTTATATTTGTATGTATAAAAACATTTAAAAAATATTTTTCCCCTCTAGATATAGATGAATGTCTGTTCAGCCCATCTGTATGTGGTTCAGATTCCAACTGCACAAATGAAATTGGAAGTTATAATTGCTCATGTCTGGATGGATTCACTGCAACAAACTCAAGTCTCCCCATCAGCATCAATAACACATGTAGAGGTACATATACATTTTATATTTAGTTTTGTGTTTACTACCTTGAATAATTGACCTAAGTTTATTGATGTGATTTTTATTCCAGGTGTTTTTTTTTTCTATTTTTAAAATGTCAAAAAATTAGTTGACCTTCACATATGTATGAGTGATCCAAACTCTTCTTTTTCCCATTACTTTTAATATAGATGTGGATGAATGTGTTGAGATATCAGATATCTGTGGTCCAAACTCAATCTGCAACAACACTGTTGGGAGTCACAATTGCTCGTGCATGAGTGGATATAATGTAACAGACACAAACCTCCCTATAAACAGCAATAACACATGCAAAGGTATGATTGACAGCTGAAGCTCTGAACAGTAACTGTTTATTCTGACTAAATTTTCTGTCTACTGTAATCTGTCCCTTTATATTTTTTTATTTTTTTTATTTCAGATATTCATGAATGTCTTGACTCAGTATCAGTGTGTGGACTAAACTCTCACTGTTACAATTACAATGGAAGCTTCTCATGTTTTTGTTGGGAGTTTCTTCCTTCATGATTTATATTCTCATTTTTATAGACAGATGACTGCCATGAGATAACAAATGTCTTTCATGTGTTTGTGTTTGTGTTAATGAAAATTGTTTTTAAATGATCACTTTAATATATATTTTTTATATAATGTCTCAGATGAAAATAAAGCTATTAGTAAAGGCAACCCATGCACTGGTCAGTTTTTATTTATAAAATATTCTGCATTACAGCTTTTGGTTATTGCATAATTTAGTCATTAATCATTACTTTGGTGATTTTTAAAGATTCTCATTACAAATATAACATTTCAGGATCCAGATTATTATTATATAAACAATAATAACCCATGCAAAGGTATGAAGCAATGAACAGTTTTTTACTATTTGTTCTGTGTGAATCACCCTTCAACTGTAACCTTTCAATTTATTAAATTACATTTTATTTCAGATATTCATGAATGTCTTGACTCCGAATCAGTGTGTGGCCCGAACTCTCACTGTTACAATTACAACGGAAGCTTCTCATGCTTTTGTTGGGGTGGATATAATGTCTCAGATGGAAATAAAGCTATTAGTAAAGGCAACCCATGCACTGGTCAGTTTTTATTTTATATTTTTTTAGTTATTGCATAATTTAGTCATTAATCATTACTCTTTAATCATTACTTTGGTGATTTTTAAAGAGTCTCATTACAAATATAACATCTCAGGATCCATATTATTATTATTACTATTACTGTAAATGTTGACATTTCAACTTAATTTATATACTCCTTGTATAGATGTATTTCATAACTTTAAGTAATTACTTTTTCAAATTTTTTTTTTCGTAGATATAAATGAATGTCTGTTCAGTCCATCTGTATGTGGTCCAGATGCCAACTGCACAAATGAAATTGGAAGTTACAATTGCTCATGTCTGGATGGATTCACTGCAACAAACTCAAGTCTCACCATCAGCATCAATAACACATGTACAGGTACATTCTGTTTTCAGATCTGTGTATACTCTGTCTTTTTTACATGGGTAGTTCTAGTCTTGGCTTCTTATTGCTCAGTACAGTGTTAAGTAATGCTGAAATCCACTATATAATAATGGCTATAGCGTGATAGTGGTGATAGTGATTTTTGTTGAATTGCAACATTTTGTTGTGTCATGTATATCTTACGGTGGAAGGATGTCATTTAAAGTGTTTGCTTAAAAAGATAATAAAAATGTGTGTCCTTAATTTTTATTATGTAGAAACAATAAGGTACTTGAGGCAATGTTGTAGTTTAAATATAAACATACACTGAAAAAAATGTTTCATTCATCCAGTTAAAAAAATTTAGGGTAATGGTTGCCCTTAGGGCAAGTTATTTATTTTTCATTGGCTTAAGTTAAAAATATAGATGTGAATCATTACCCTAAATTTTTTTAATTGGATAAATGAAACATTTTTTCAGTGTAATATAGACAAAGTATTTTTGGAAATGCAGTTTGGAATTGTAAAGATATACAAAATTGTAAAGCTTCTTTTTTTTTTTTTTATAAACTTGGATTTAAGGCATTAGATTGTAAAGACAAACAATATGTTGACACTGGCTTCTTATTGCTCAGTACAGTGTTCAGTAATGCTGAAATCCACTATATAGTAATAGCTATAGTGTGAAAAACACCTGTTTATCATATTGTTGCTCAGCACTCAGGTGATAGTGATTTTTGTTGAATTGCAACATTTTGTTGTGTCATGTATATCTTACGGTGGAAGGATGTCATTTAAAGTGTTTGCTTAAAAAGATAATAAAAATGTGTGTCCTAAATTTTTATTATGTAGAAACAATAAGGTACTTGAGGCAATGTTGTAGTTTAAATATAAACATAATATAGACAAAGTATTTTTGGAAATGCAGTTTGGAATTGTAAACGTATACAAAATTGTAAAGCTTCTTTTTTTTATTTATAAATAACATACACTGAAAAAAATGTTTCATTCATCCAGTTAAAAAAATTTAGGGTAATGGTTGCCCTTAGGGCAAGTTATTTATTTTTCATTGGCTTAAGTTAAAAATATAGATGTGAATCATTACCCTAAATTTTTTTAATTGGATAAATGAAACATTTTTTCAGTGTAATATAGACAAAGTATTTTTGGAAATGCAGTTTGGAATTGTAAAGATATACAAAATTGTAAAGCTTCTTTTTTTTTTTTTTATAAACTTGGATTTAAGGCATTAGATTGTAAAGACAAACAATATGTTGACACCACTGATCCATAATAGAAAACTGGATTACTCATGACGTCATAAAAGTGAAGGCACTGTACGTCCATGATGGTTTTCCCTAGTATTCCCATATATTCTATTGAATTAATAGGAAATCGTAAGATTTAATGAGAGAAAACTCAACATATATTACAAAGGACAAGGTACTCATTCTGAAATCTGAATTAAGATTTAGGCTTTGTATCCCTTAATTCAACTTGTACAATTATTCACTGTTTATGTAAACGTTACAAATTGTTTTTATTTGTAGAGTAGGCTGCAAATGTTTCAACAAGGATGTCATTATCAAGATGCATTTTGAAGCAGTTAATAATTTAAACGTTGGTTAAATTAAAAATTAATTAAGCATACATACATAACATTTTACTCCTATGGAAACTAGTAATAGAAGCTAGTAAAACGCCATAGAATTTGTGCGATCTTGAAGAGTCTGAAGTACATGTTGCTCAATCAGGACATAAAAAATACACACATCATAACATCATTCAGAGAAATAATGCTGACAACATACGGTACAGACTTTTAAAGACATGAGCTTTATTTCCAAGATGATACCTGATGAGCTTTGAATTTCAATACAGTATAGATCAGTATTAACAGAGGCTTGTATTGTAATATTTATTCAAATCAATTTCTGATGCTAATACCAGATATTAATATTTGCTGCATAATTACTTACATAAAGAAATATATTTTGTGTTGGATCAGTTACCTATGTCGGGAATGTGCATCAGACACACCCACCTAAACCATTTCAATATATCGCTTATCCTGCCTGAAAAGACCATAAACATTGCAGATAACATCTTAAATAACAATTAATTTACATACACATATTGTCACGCCCCTGGACTGTCTTTGTGGTGTTTTCCCTCCCCATGTGCTCCGTGACCCAGTTTCTCCCCTGTCTAATTAGTCATTCTGTTCACCTGTGTTCCTCCCAATTGCCTCGTTAAGTCATGTATATTAAGTTCCAGTCTGTGCGTTCCTCCTTTGTCAGGTCTACCAGTTCTTGATCCCCCTTAGATAGCTGGTGATCAGTTCTTGAATAGCAGCTGGGATATGGTAATGGTCAAGTCCAAGCTGGATGAGGTCATGCGGAATAGATCCATAAGCATTCGCTAGATCCAACCAGACCACTGTTAGATCGCCTTTCTTCTGCTTGGCCTCACGGATCAACTGGCTGAGTATTGATGTGATTCCAGACAGCCTGAAAAGCCTGGGATTCCACCTTTCTGAATGGAAGTATTGATGTAGTTCCCTTTCAGTCGGTCACTCTCGTCGTCACGTCGGCTGACCGACGAATTGGGATCTCGCTTAGAGAGACCAATCTACTTCGAGTGTAAACTAAACGAGCCAATGCACATTATTGTTATGCTATTATTGCATCCAGCTGCCGCTGATCACAGCGTGAGAATAAGTAGGCAGCCGGTGCAGCGCATATTCAGCTTTTTGCTTTGGAGCCGAGCGATCACATCGTTCTGCTCCTGACTACTCTACTGAAAGAAGAAGACTGAACGAGTTCAGCGCGCTGAAGCGCCGTACTGCCAACACAAAGAGCTTTCTTCGTGTTGGCAGTACGGCACTTCAGCGGTGGTGGTTTCCCGTGTCGAGTGGGTTGCACACATCAGGCTGCACTACCCCCTGTTTGTGTTGCAGGCGGCCATCTCCCCTGTGCGCTTCAGCACGCTGAAAGAGCTTTTTCCCTAATAGAGCATTTACGGGTGCGTCTATTTAAAGACGACGTTGCGTGGCAAACTTGACGTTACGTCTTTGTAAAGACGATGTGGCTCTTGCTATAGACAACGTATCACCCAGGCGTTTCTGGATGCGGTCGTTACCTGGCGCTGGGTGATGGTCACGATCGCTGCCTCACGTGCCTGGGCATCTAGCACGCTGAGGTGGCGTTACCAGGGGGGGGCCTGGTGTCGTTGCAGACATCCTGGCATCCAGTTTATTGGGTGAGGGGACTGTGACGATTTGTTAATCTAATGAATAACTGATTTGTTAAATCAAATGAAAAATTGTGTGTTTGATTGGTCCAGACGCTACAACAACGTATCACCCGGGCGTTTCTGGATGCGGTCGTTACCTGGCACTGGGGGATGGTCATGATCGCTGCCTCACGTGCCTGGGCGTTTAGCACGCTGAGGTGGCGTTTGTGGATTAGTTATGTTCTCATTGAGGGAAAATGATCATCTCGGAGTGGCCAAGCTCCATTTCCTCAAAGGGGCAGAGCTCCATTGCCTCTGCCTCGATCTAGTTCTCGTCATGGCGGCAGTCAGGCGGGGGCTACTTCAGGCAGTAGCATGGGCGGTCTGAGGGTAACAGTGATGGCAAGCCCTCCAGGGAACCAACCCTCGGGGGACCATCGCTCCTCTTGCACTCCGCAACCAGTTGAGCTGCCAATGGAACGTGCTGGGCCCTCTACAAGGAGCGTACCAGCAGTATCCTTTGGCACTCCTCCCGACAACCGGATGTCGATCGCTGCATCAGAGTGTGAGCCGGAGCTTTCTGGAGAGGAAGATTCGGCTGTGCTGCTGCCTCCGGGGACTGTAGCAATGCCTGAATTGGATCCGTAAATATCGGCTATGCTTTCCCGGGCCGCCGTGTGGGTAGGGCTCGAGTGGAGACCGATTGGTTTTTCGGGGTGGTGCGCGCTGGTTCTCAGTGCCCCGCCCCGGTGCCATTCTTCCCGGAAGTGCATGAGGAGCTTACCAGGTTGTGGATGGCACCTTTTTCTGCCGGAAACCGACCTGCTTACTCCTCCTCCCTCACCAATCTCGACGGTGGTGCAGATAGGGGGTATACGGGGGTCCCCCCGGTGGAGCGTTCGGTTGCGATGCAGTTGTGTCCTAATACCACCTCCACCCGG